GCAATTGATGATCTGTTCCACAGTCAACCCCGGGCCTGATTTGAATTGGCTCTATTGAACTTCTTCACCATCTCTTCTCACAGATGTAGTCAATTTGATTTCTGTGTATTCCTACTGGAGAAGTTCATGTGCATAGTCACCATGTATGTTGTTCAAAAAAAGGTATTTTCTATGAACAAGTTGTTGGTTTTGCAAAATTCTATCATGTGATCTCCAGCTTCATTTATAGCACTTAGACTATATTTTCCCACTACTTTTCCTTCCTCTTTGTTTCCAACTTTTGCATTCTAATATAAAGTAATTATCAATGTATCTTGATTACACATCCAGCCAATTTCAGGCTCAAGACATTAGTAGAAGTCTTCAATTTCTCCATCATTAGCTTTGGTGGTTGAATAATTGTATTAATTGGATTTCCTTAGAGACAGATAAATACAATCCCATCACTTCAAGATAGATTTTGAAATGTCCTTTTTGACAATAAATACAATTCCCTTTCTCTTGGTTGTGTCACTTCTGGCATAGTAAACTAAATTATTTTGCTAAAAATGGTCACTATTGGGCATCCACTCAAGTACTTACTCAATGCAAGAACACACTGTTCTATTAAATTGGCATTCCATGATGCACACCTTCCTGACACGATCACTGAAGACAAATGTGTGCATAAGCAAATGTGGTGAAGAAAGCTGATGGTGCCGGTCTATCAAAAGATATAGCTTCTGGGGTCTTAAAGGCTTGCAGATAAAGAAGTGGCCATCTAGCTGAGAAGCATCAAAGCCCACATGGAAGAAGCACAATAGCCTGTGTGACCACGAGTTGTAGAAGGGACCAGTTATCAGACATCAAAGAAGAAAAAAATCATATCAGTGGGTGCCCACCTTCCCGATATGATCACTGAAGACAAATGTGTGCATAAGCAAATATGGTGAAGAAAGCTGATGGTGCCTGGCCAAAATATATAGCATCTGGGGTCTTAAAGGCTTGAAGATAAACAAGTGGCCATCTAGCTCAGAAGATACAAAGCCCACATGGAAGAAGCACACCAGCCTTTGTGACCACGAGCTGTCAAAGGGATCAGGTATCAAGCATCAAAGAACAAAAAATCATATCACTGTAAATGTGGGTAAGTGCAGAGTGGAGACTCAAAGCCCATCAGTAGGCAACTGGACACCCCCTTACTGAAGAGTTGTGGGGAGGAGATGAGCCAGTCAGAGTGCAGGGTAGCAACGATGAAACATATAACTTTCCTCTAGTTCTTAAATGCTTCCTCCCCCAACTATCATGATCCCAATTCTAGCTTACAAATCTGGCTACACCAGAGGATGTACATTGGTACAGATAGGAACTGGAAACACAGGGAATCCAGGACAGATGACCCCGTCAGAACCAGTGGTGAGAGTGGCGATACCTGGAGAGTGGAAGGAATGTGGGGTGGAAAGGGGGAACTGGTTATAAAAATCTACGTATAGCCTCCTCCCTGGGGGATGGACAGCAGAGAAGTGGTCAGGGGGAGATGTCGGACAGTGTAACATATGACAAAATAATAATAATTATGAATTATGAAGGGTTCATGAGGGAGTGGGGAGTGGGAAGGGAGAGGGAAAAAGGAGGAGCCGATATTACGGGTTCAAGTAGAAAGCAATGTTTTGAGGATGAGGGCAACAAATGTACCAATGTGCTTGACACAATGGATGGATGTATGGATTGTGATAAGAATTGTACGAGCCCCCAATAAAGTGATTTTTTTAAATGGCCAATATCAGCCCATTTCAACTCACTACCACACGATATCAATCTTTGTGTTCCATTTTATTTCTGATGACTACCAGTTTCCCTAGATTCATGCCAAGTTCTGAGCACTAGATTTATGCAGCTGCTTCTCACCATGGGTGTCACCCCTTCAGCAAACAAGGAGCCCAAAGGCTCCACTTCCATAGGCTTCACTTGATTCACTCCCCAATTGGTGACTCTACCATGGTAGAGCAGTTCCTCCTGTCACGTTTCCAGTGCTTTCAGACCCTTTGGGGCCTAATGGTCGGCCTCCACTCATTAGACCTTCAGTATCTGACAATGTTTTATGCTATACACAAGATTTAAGTAGTTTCTTCTCCCAAAGTGGGCAGTTGGTGGCAGTTCTTAACCTGGAAAGTCCACTGAAACCTGTACACTTTGATTGACCTTATCGGCATTTGAAATAACAGTAACATAGCTCCCAACATTTAAAATAACAGTGACATAGCTCCCAGCATCACACAAACCATCACAGGACTACAAACTGACAGACAAGTGGAGGCACGTGGCCATATTTAAACAAAAAAGACTGGGAAAAACAGTCTTTATTCTGAATTGCCATGTATTCAACTAAGGTTATATTAACTAAAGAAGATGGGGGAATGGCTAATAGAAGTGAGGAACTAGAAATGCTTCCTATAGAAATTAACATATTTCTACCCTGTTTCCCCCAAAATAAGGCAGTGTCTTATATTAATTTTTGTTCCCAAAGATGCGCTAGGTCTTATTTCCAGGGGATGACTCATTTTTCCATGAAGAAGAATACGGTACACATTTATTGTTGAACAAAAAAAAAAGGAAATTTATTACCTGTATATGGTCCGGTAGTAGTTGTGATCACAAACCAGCACAACCAGATAAACTGTGACTCCTACAGTATTGTGAATTTCTTGTTACTACCATTATTTCCATGTACAACAATCTATGGTACATTCACTCATTTATTCAATGACAGTCATGTCATCATCTTCTGGAACATCATCATAACAATCCAAACCCTTATTTTTGGGGAGGTCTTATTTTCGGGGGGATGCCTTATATTTCAGCGAGAGGCACCAAATAGAGGAAAGCCTTCTTAAAGTTTAATACACAATAGAAGAATACATGTATATATGAGGTGACTTCAAAAAGTTCATGGGAAAATTCCATTATCTTCGAGTTCCATTTTACAATTAAAATTTTAAAGGCTTTTAATATATGTCTGTACATCTCTGTTTCTTATTGTCCTACATAAAGTCACAATTAGCCAGGACCTACAAATCACAGTTATGATTTAGTTATTGAACATCAAGCACAAACCAGGCATTTTTATGTATGATCCCATTTAATCCTCACAACTGGACCAATAGGCAACACCAAGATTTCATTTTGCTTGGATCCACAATCAATGCTCCCAGAAGCAGCTGACACAAAATCAAGCAATGCATTGCATTGGCTAAATCCGCTTCAAAGGATATCTTTAAAGTATTGAAGAAAGCAAGGCTGTTACTTTGACAAAGGTGTACCTGACCTAAGCCGTGATATTTTCGGTCATATGGATGTGAAAATTGGACACTGAATATGGAAGACTGAAGAAGAATCAATGCATTTGAATTATGGTGCTGGTGAAGAATATTGAAAGTACCATGCACTCCCAAAGGAATCAACATGTCTTGGAAGTACAGTCAGAATATTTCTTAGAAGCCAGGATGGTGAGACTCTGCCTCACGTAATTTTGACATGTTATCAGGAGAGACCAGCCTCTAGGAAATGACCTCAAACTTGGTAGAGTAAAAGGGCAGTGGAGCAAATGGATTGACACAGTGGCGGCAACAATAGGCTCAAACATAACAATAGTTGTCAGGATGGTCCAGGAGTAGGCAATGTTTTGTTCTGTGCGTTTTAGAGGTTGCCATGAGTTGGAATTTACTTAACAATACCTAACAACAAGAAATATTTTGTCTTGGTGAGGAACTAAACAGGGGGCCAGTTCACTGTCCCTCAGACCCGTTGGAGGGCCGGACTATACTTAAAAAAAAAAAAAACTATGACCAAATTCCTATGCACATTGCACAGTCTTATTTTGAAATAAAAAAACCCAATGGGGCAAAAACACCCGGCGGGCCGGATACATGTCCTCGGCGGGCCACATGTGGCCCGCGGGCCGCAGTCTGGAGTGTGTCTTTAAATGCCTCCGGCAGGGTAAACTTCTGGGACGTTTGGATGGAAAGTCGGCAGCAGTCCTACAAACGTCCATTCACGCACGCTCCCAAGGGGTCGGGCTGGGCTCAGCCTTGACCTTGGGCAGAAGCCCCCCAAGCGCGGGAAGCAAGCGGCGCGGGGCCCGGCGCGCTGACCCTGGCGCCGCGGGCGCCGTCGGTGGG